CACCTTTTTTTAACATTTTATTAACACCTTTTTTTAACATGAACGGTTCTCTCAGAAACAACGCCTGAGGCGACCGGCGATTTTGGATGTCAGCTACGGACGCGAAATCAATTTTAAATAAAATTTGTATCAATTCAACGGTAAAAATTCGATATTTTTTTTTATCAGAGTCATCTATCGACAAAAATTAAAAAGAGTTTTAATGGTAAAGAGTGCAGCTTTCTTATTAAATTTTTGCATTTTGCCGTACAATTCAACTGGCTTATGATTGTTAGAAGTTCAGTCGCATTTTCATCTCTGACGAGTATAAATTCATTTAATTATAACAAAACTAAAGCATATTTGGGATTTCGTAATGCTTTTATTATACGTCTCTAAAAAATGATTATGCCAGTAAAGCTTCAAATCCGTAAGTTTTTCAATGATAAAATAAAAACGCCAAAAAGTACATCTAATCCCATTCGTTCTGCTGTTGTTACTAGCTATTTTAGTATTTCCGTGGTTTTCGCCCTGGTTCTTGTTATAATGTCCACGTTGCGAGCATATGCTAGAATTTGGACTGATCTATTAGCCTCAATTGCCTCAACCCCCTATGTATTTCAAACGGGGTTGACGAGTACTTCTCAATTTTTACTGCTGATAGCATCTTAGTCGTTGTCACTTATCATGCATATGAGTTTTTTGGAATTAATAACTTACTCACAGCGTTGTAAAGACTTGTTATTATGACACTGTCACCTACTGCTTTAAAATCGGCAAAAAGAAGTGATAATTATCGTTTTTTTTTGTCATTTTGATGATCTAGTAACCCATAGGGGGCGCTCCCGCAGGTTGATAAACATTGAACCAACTCTAAACAGATCCCGACTGGTTTATCATGGGAAGATATTTTTTATAAAAAAAAAATAGTTCTTTTGTACCACACCAACATTAATAATGCAGTTGCTTTTTTTGTTCGGTTGACTCATGGCGGATGTTAGGATACCTTGAATCATTCAAATTACTTCTACAATAATTTTATGTAGTTATAATGAGCTATTGCATTTATATTTAAATATAAACTATATAAAACAGCTCGCTTCACTAGAAACACGTGATCTTTTGTTTATAGAAAAAAAATTAGCAGTCCTTTTAATTATTATCTAATAGTTCCTACTACAAATGAAAATGCATGGTGTAAACAGTAGTACTATTGTGTGATATAAATCTTAACTGATTGTACAACTATACAACTAGTCTACCACAACTACTATAAATCATGGTCGATAAATTAATAACCATCATCAATTCAGTCGTAATTACTTTACAGTATATTTGTATTTGATAATTGCGGGATTTATTAATATGTGTAATGAATTTTATTGAGTATTTTATAATTTTTTTAATTGCTCTCTGATAACGGTTTATTTTCGTCGTTTTTCATAATTGCAGGGTCAAAGATTTAATTTATCATTGGAAGACATACTAAATAACACATTCTTAAAAATTGTAATTCTCTGGTTGTTTTTATTTCAATGTTATATAGAAACGCTTTTATAATAAACTGTTTAACAAAAAAACTAGGACAATTGAATTTTTAAAGGGATAAAAAACAAAATTGTGTGGAAAATCTTCCAAAAGCAAACATTTATGTTACCGAAGTTCTGCTTTAATTTCAATATGTGATAATACTGTAGTTATCAAATAAGTTACATAAAAATTAGTAAAGTTAAACATTAATGATTCCATGAAATGAGTTGAATACAATGAAAATGGGCAAAATGTAATATTATTGAGCTGTTTAATCACGGTATCATTTTTAATACTAATCAATAATCAAAAAGGGAACATTTTCAAGTCATTGTTTTGTTTTGCTTTTTATTAAACAAAGTGAAAATACACATTGATAATCTTGGTAATCTAAAAACTCCATTTGGTGATTAGGCACTGCCAAAAACAACTGTGCTTTTCACTGTACCATGCCAATGACCATTAGTTGTCGACGCATTAAACTCAATAAAAAAAATTAAAAAAAAAATAAATAAAAAAATCTAAATTTTTCTGACTAAAAATTACCTATTCTAAAGTACAACATGTTCCAAAAATGACATTTAAATGTGAGCTTTATTAAGCATAAAAAATTTATATAACAAAAATTCAAATAATGTGAAGAAGTTCTTCTTTCATAAAGATCTATTCAATGTAATGATCTTGCTTTTCAAGTAGTACTCATATTTATGAATTGTGTCTTAATGTTTAAAAAGAATGTCAGTTGAATTAATGTTTAATAAGATTAGTAAGTATGTTTGTAAAAATAGGCTGTTGCATTCATCTCAAAAATGCCACATAAGTAAGCATCAAGATTTATTAGATTAGGCGAATGAGAAGAGTAACGAAATTCGATGTTACGGTAAACAACGCGGTCTCCAAACTCCCAAATTCATTTTGAATCTATTCTAAGGATGAGTCCGTAGTATAGCAAGTATTACTTGTCCTTTTGGATCCATAGGATAATGAATTACTTAGATGTTTTTAACTCACAGAATTATCTGAGATCAAGTAAATATGATGTCGAAATTGGTTCCATGCAAATCGTCTTCTAGAAATTAAGGATCCAATAAACCATCATACATTGTTACATGGTCACTATGAAGGGTTTTTTTTACGATGATGCCTGGTTGTTTAAAACGAGGAAAACGATTTGTCTCTTCATTGGTAAATCCATGCAGACGAATGTGGCGTTCGTTCGAAAACACACAACATAAAGAAATACGGATTGTTCATAAACCATTGCAAAGACTGAAGCACAGTACACAACTCTTCCTTGCTTGTTTGCATTATTCAAGCATTGCCCGATATTAATTAGGAAAACCACCAACCTTCTTAACCTTCTCACGGACAGGGTGGCGTATACGCCGAAAACTATTATCAGTGGGTTATGGATTGGAATATGGATTTACCCCATTTTAACACATAACCGTACCAGGATATGGGTTAAAATGGGATAAAATGTTTATATTTACAAATTTAATATTTTAAAAAATATAATTTAATAAATACGAGAAATTAATATAGGTTATTCCACGAATATACGACTGTTTTGGTTTATTACGACAACGAATATTTTACTGTGCAAGTAGAAGTATGAAAGTAAATTGGTCTAAACAGTATTCGAATAAAATGGATTTACTGTTAGTTTGACACTTACACTAAAATTATTTCAGGTAATATATGTTCAGATAGACGCAAAATTTATTGTGAAATTTAATCCGAAAGTAACAAAAATTTTTATGCGAACGGTCCTACAAATAAATACAATGAGTTCTATGAAGCCAAAATGTGTTCATAAGACATTTGGGTTGGATTTCCGTGAAATGTAAACACCAAAGAGGCGTGCTGGGTTTCTTTGATATTACACTTTTTATTACTTTATTAGGTACCTACTACAACTGCAATAAAAAGAAATATACTTTTAATATAAATGTAAAGAAATTGGCAGAACGATGGTTTGGAAACCAGAAAGAGAATCTATCATTTCACTTTGTTAGTTTTAAATATTTGTTTGATTTGAGTGGATGTACACCTAAAGTTCCGAAAGTAACGGGTATAACATACCGGCTATTGATAGTTGAAGTACCGAGTCGTTACAGATATTAAAAAGTAACGAACATTTATATACAGTTGCATTATCGCCGACTGATTTTATTTTTAAAAACTGTCCGTATAGAGGTGTCCGGTGAAGAGAGGTGCCGTTAAGAGAGAGTTTAGTGTAGTGTATTTGTTTATTAAAGCCCAAAACGCCGAGACGTATTTTAGATGTAGACAACTTTATATTTAATCTACTTTCCTATGGTGAGTTCTGTGAATCTGATGGTTGATGATAGTTTTAGGAGATTAGAAGAATAAGAGAATAAGTTCTTTTTGTTTTCTTAATACTAATTGAATATTCGACTAAATAAATTACACTATTTAATCACCTAAGTATTATTACACTTAGTTTAAATCAATTAATTCAAAAACCAACTTGTTTACAATACTAAAATCAATGATAGTAATTGTATACTTCAAAATCTGAATTATAACTATTGTATAAACTATCAACTCTATATTTATATCATGACTTCATATTTAAATTTTAAGTCATAATAGTATTTTAAAAATAGGGAGAATTTACTATTGGACAATTCAGCACATTGGACCATTCAAATAGAGACCTTAAACCGAATTTAAAACAATCGTATATTCGTGGAATGGAGTTTAGTTGTTATATTGTCTATTTTTATATTTTTCATATTACTGAACTTGTTAATAAACTAACTCGATTTTTTTATGAATGCAATTAACGACAAATCTCTTTCATCATCTTTATCTACATGTTCTTTATTCACGTTTGGTTTATGGTAAATTAAGTTGTATAAGATTCGTATACTTTTATTCACAAATAGAAATTTGCAGCTTCAGAAATTCGAGAAGGCTATCAAAAATTTTTAAAATGTTAAGTAGTAATTAATGTTTTTATGAAAAGATAAATTTTATGATTAATCCTGGAAGATCAAACCTATTTCTTTTAACATAAACCGCACACATGGGTACTAGATATCCAATGATTTTTGTGAATAAATAAAAAATCAATATTTTATAATTTCCAGTTACTGTCTAATCACACAAGAATAATCAAAGCAATCATTTTATTTTCTCTTAATAGCAACACAAAAAAATATTAAAAATAATTTAAAAACATTTTCTAAAAAAAAACAGAAACATAATTCAATTTAACTACAAAATGATATTTGTAACTAAAAGGTAACACCTTTTGATTATATAACTCATATTCATTCTTAGCCAGCTATTTGAATTTTACTAATTTTGATGACCACATTCACAACACAGATGCTCAATTCAGTATGCTTTATGGCAAGCCGAGCATGCATGCTTCGTTTTTCTATATTTCCCTTTGCAGAAATAACACGTAGTTTGTTTTACTAAACTTTGGTTCTGTTAAAAGGTGTTCAACTTGAAGAATGCCTCAAATTTTTTGCACAAGTGATTTGTGCAAAGAAGGTATTTGAAGTATCTCTCGTATTAGTCGTTCAATTAAAACCATTCCCAAAGATTTCAGAAATGATCTTTTATTATTAGTTGTATTTTTTTCCAATGGAGATTTGCGAGCATATCAACAAAAAATCTTATTGGCCATCGCCTGGAGTATCGCGATGCAGTATAAGAATGCAGTATACAAACTTATTTGTATCTGCTTTTAATTCATTATAGGTGTCTATAAAGCTTTGGTTTTCCTGTAACGGCATTTAACCAATCATCGTGATGTAATGTTGATAGGAAAAGAACAACTTATTTTAGCTTTGGAGTGTATGAGAGGATAGTTTTATTTTCTTCGAATGCGAATAGTGATGTACCTACTTCTTTTTTACCGAGGAGGTACGGTGGAATTTCTCGTTTCTTTTTTCTCAATGTACCCTAGAGAGTTAGTTTAAATTGCCTCATTTAATCAGCCAGAGGTACTGAGGCGAACCAGTTATCTGCTGTTATATTTCGGTTTGTTCCATATATTGGTTCCGATAATTTTCGAACGTCAGTGCCAGCTCAAGCTAGCACCATCCTGTGTTTGGACTTTTTTAATATATGGAATACCGTTAACCATATAAAGTGTGTTATAGCCATTTATCATAATTATCTTTATTCCATATTTTTTGGGCCTACTGCTCATATAAATTTTAAATGGCATTTCTCATTGAATCCTACGAGCTGTTCATTTATAGTACAAAACTCAAAAGGAGTGTAGTATGATATACAGTTGCTTTTATAAAGATTTGCCATAATTCGCGCATGGTTACAAATTTATCCACTGTTTTTCGAATTGCTCTTGTTTCTGTATCATCACACCTTAGACATACTGCTAGAAAGTCAAACCTCTGCTGTGATATCGTAGCACGAAAGATTCCATTCTTAAATTGTAGGGACCAAAGTTCATCAACGTTATAGTTAGAAACACGTAATGCACCAGATAATTACAATAACCCAATGATGGCTTTCTATTCTAATCATGTATGTGTGAGTCCATTTCAAATAGGTAAAAAAGAAATAAATAAGACTTACAATCAGTTTAATTTAACTACCTAGACGACCGGTATCGTTTTCTACAATTTGCAAAGCATCTTTAGGTTAGTCGGTAGAAAGTTAATTAAATGCTGAACTAATAAAAACCCATATTAGGGTGCTGTCTTATAAAGATAAACATAAAATAAAATAATATAAATTACAGTAATTATGCCAATATTACATGTCTGGGTTTTTTAATATGAATAAACTGTTTAAGCAGACCAAGTAAGACCCACAAATTGGTATAAAATAGTCTATTAAATTGTAATAAATTAGTAAATAAACAAAACATTACTTACCTTCCGGTACAAGATGTATTAATAATTTGGAGGACATAGCTCAAACTATCCTGTAATTGCTCATGATGGGGATCTTCAGTTTTTACTATTGTAACTGTTTAATAATTAACGGGGAAGTTTCTTGAGGAGATAGATATTAACCAATGAAGTAGAAATAAGGTATATTTCTTTCTATTCTGTTTTATTTGTCAATCTGGTATAACTTGCACAGTGATACTTTCACCTTCTGTAAACCAACGATACCCGTCTTTTCCAAGTAAACTTGCAATATTTCTAACTGGCTCATGATCTACTTCACTATTACTTTGTTCACTTTCATCAGTATCGGTATTGGAGGTTTGTTCTTCAACATAATCCTTGTCAGATTCGCAATCGATACTAAAAATATTTTGACTATCATCCTTGTTGGTTTCATTAGCAAATAAATGTTCGACTTCCCTTTCCATCGAATTGCTGCTGCGCATGCTACATTAAGCTAAGATGGGTATCTCACATCCGGGAATGAGCTTCCAGGGTTAATAATCAAATTCATTTTTTTTTTGTCACGATGAATTCTTTTTTGTAATCATAATTTGATTGACGTGATTACAGCTAAAACAGTCTCTTTATAATGCACACTAATAATTATTCTCTTGGTATAATAACTCAACACGTAATTCAAATTTCTTATTTATTTGGTATTTACTACTTACAATTACGCCTAGAGATGTATTCCCAAAACATTCTTCTACTCCACTATTTGGAGGAGCAATACATAAAGTAAAGTTAAGGCAATAAGTTGTGGATATTCTATGAGAACATGGCACAAAAGAAGATTTTCGATTTTGGCTATATGACTAAGGAACTATGTAAGATTATTTTTAACTGTATTTTTTCAGCAGTTAAGTATAAGGATATAAAAAGTTATCTTAAAGAAAGAAGTAAATTTGATTATAAATCGAATATGTTTTTCTTAACATTTTAAGAACCAATTATCATACTTAATCTTAATTGGTTCCGACCAGACAATGAACGGAAGCGCGAACGATGGTGTGTACGAAGTCTTATGAACGCTCATACTGTGGTTTACTCTAAGTATTTACCTCTTTATTAAAACATGATTATCTTAAATAAACTTTAAATCGGTTTGAGAGATCGATATGAATGAAATATGGATATTGTCTCGCTACACACTATAAATCTACATAATTGGAAAAGGCAGTTATAACTACCATTCATCATCATCAATGGCGCTACAACTCTTCGTGAGTCTTTGCCACATTTACTATTGCCTTCCATGTTTGTCGGTCCTGTGCCAGTAATTTCCATTGTCGCACTCCCATCTTCTCTACATCTTCTTTGACCTGCATCTTTCCACCTTTTTCTAGGCCGCCCTACAGACCTTCTGCCATCTGGCCTTTCCCAGAACACATTGTTTATAAGGCGATTGTCGTTACTTCGTATCACATGTCCTGCCCATCTGAGTCTATTGGCCTTTATATATCTGACTAGATTTTCTATCCTATACGACGTATCTGCCAATCTAAACCGTTTTGAGATCTGAAAATTCAGTTGCATAGGTTTTCGATAGTGAACTTTATATTGAAAATATTTATGAGCATGTGCTGTTTCCGTATATATCGGAAATAGTCCCCAAATTATCTATTAACTAATTAGAAATTATATATTTATTGTGACAGAATGAATCAAAATGTTTAAGTATAGTTTCCTGGCTTTTATAAACCGTGAAAGTTTACTTGATGAAACATTAACCTGTGAAAACAACAACAAAATTAAAATGTCTTAAAAACTTGACACATGGAACTGAATTTAAAATTGTTCGCCAATACTCTAGTAAGTTGTTGTTCCATCGTTTTCGTGGCACTCCTACTGATTCTCTTCTTATTGTGGAACCGGCTCTTGCTGTCTTTACTACTATTTGTTGTCATTCGGCTTATACGGTTATATAAGTCGTTCCTAATTTTTTACGGTGAAAAATTGGAAAAACAGGGTTTTGAATTTCATAAGAATAATAAGCATAGAATTTTAAAAAAGAAACATTTTATTTGCAGCATAATTTACTTTTACAAATTTTTATGATATCTGTATGACACACATTTCACAAATTTGTAATCGAAAATTTCGTTTCTACTCAACTTTCTAACTTTTCACGTAAGATGTCTTCGGCCTGCTTGATCTTCCTAGTGAGTGTACGGACTAGTACATGCAAACTCTGCAGTTTTATGTACACCATTGCTTAATACTGTAGAGAAGCATCAATACAAAGGGAAGAATATTGGGATGAGAATATGATATATATGGCTCGACTGGGATGCCCAAACAGTTAGAGAGAAATGAGACAATCGCCCACTCGCTCTGTGTCCAAAAATAGCAAGCCAAATAATTGATTCAGCCACTTCGTGGCAAGTGTCATGTAATATGCCTCTGCTTTCGCCAAGTAACGTAAATTCTCAAGAATGCCAAAAATACAACTGATGTCCGTGTTTGAAGTGACAATGTGACTTTAACAATTTAATCAGAAATTCTAAATGTAATATCAGAAAGGCTAATCAGTTTAAACTAACAAAGTAATATTATGCCTTGTCTACAAGAAACATCTTGTAAAGTTGACATAAAGAGGTGATTTTCTTTGTGTTATTCAGAATCTATTAATCTATTAATATTAATCTATTAATCTATATCTAATAAAAATCTATTCGCTAGTTGTATCACATTTAGCCTTACACACTTTCGTTGTACAAGTCGACAAAAGGCAATTCGATTTTAGAGTCTTTCGCAATTGAAATTTGAAATTATTTTATAACTATCTTTTTCCTCTGCGTTGGCTCAAAACGTAATCAATGAGCCGTTGACTATCCATGTTAAAAGAACAAAAGCAAATGAAGAGAAGTTTTTCTTTTCGAATAGTTTTAGGTAGCTATCAATAGAATTTTGTGAAATTCCTCTGCGTTGGCTCAAAACTTAATCAATGAGCAGTTGACTATCCATGTTAAAGGAACAAAAGCAAATTAAGAGAAGTTTTTCTTTTTTAGTAGTTTTAGGTAGCTATCAATAGAATTTTGTGAAATTCGTAAATATATATATATATATATATATATATATATATATATATATATATATATATATATATATATATATATACCGCTATTTAGGCGGTACGCCTTTCCGGTAGGGATCTATGGAGGAGTTACACCGAGTAGTCTAAACCGCATATTCATCTAGGATTTTAAACTGCTGCGTTAGCCTTTTTGTTTTCTGAACCACTCGCAGTAAATCGAATGAGAACCGGCCGCCCAGCCCGCTTGGCTATCTGACCAACCAATGAAACATAATGACTGTATTAGAATTTTAATTTTATTTCGATGCAGGGCGACGGCAAGCCGCTTATACGTATTTTAACCTCTTTAGGTATCATCAGAGTGGCATACCTAAAGAAGTTGAAATACGTATAAGCGGCTTGCCGCCGCCCTGCATCGAAATAAAAATCTAATACCGTCGTTATGTTTTATTTCTTTACTATGTTTGGAATATCAGAAACTGAATTCACTACAAATTTTGACCATGATGAACGGCTTGTGGAATGCATATTTTAGATTCCCTTGCCGACCAATTCATCAATCTGTTTGCTTTGCAAGTTGTAGAAAG